CACTATCTAGTTCAAAGGCATTTTCATTAGTCCAAAGAAAACCTCTTACCCATTAATCAGTCACTTTCCATTCCACCCTCCCTGTAGCCCTTGGCTACCACCAGTCTACTTTTTGCTTTTCTAAATTTACCTATTCTGGATATTTTATATAAATGGAATCATATGTTACCTTTTATGTTTGGCTTCTTTCACTTAACATAATGTTTTTGAGGTTCATAAATATTATAGTATGTATCAGTACTCCATCCCTTTTTATGCCTGAATAATATTCCATTGTATGGATATACCACTTTTTGTGTATCTATTCATCCATTAATAGACATTGGGTTTTTCTACCTTTTGGCTACTTTGAATAGTGCTGTTATGAACATATTTGTTTAAATGTTGTTGTTGTTAGGTGCCATCGAGTCGTTTCTGACTCATAGCGACCCTATGTACAGCAGAATGACCCTTGCTGTACCTGAAACCATCATTGTAGCCACTTTGTCAATCCATCTCATTGAGGCCCTTTCCCTTTTTCATTGACTCTCCACTTTACCAAGCATAATATCCTTCTCCAGGGAATGATCCCTTCTTACAACATGACCAAGTAGGTGAGATGGAGTCTGGCCATTCTAGCTTCCAAGGAGCATTTTGGCTTCACTTCTTCCAGGACAGCTTTGCTAGTTCTTTTAGCAGTCCATGGTACTTTCAGTATTCTTCGCCAATACCACATCTCAAAAGCATCGACCCTTCTTTGATCTTCCTTATTCATTGTCCTGCTTTCATATAAATATGAGGTGACTAAAAATATTATGGCTTGTGTCAGGTGCACCTTAGTCTTCAAGGAGATATCTTTGCTCTTCAGCACTTGAAAGAGGTCTTTAGCAGCAGATTTTTTTTTTTTTTTTTTGTATATATCATCTGATCTTGACTGCTGCTTCCATTGGTGTTGATTGTAGAACCAAGTAATATGAAGTCTTTGACAACTTCAATCTTTTCTCCTCTTATTGTGATGCTGCTTATTGGTCCAGTTGTGAGGATTTTTGTTTCCTTTATATTGAGGTGCAATCCATACTGCAGACCGTAGTCCTTAATCTTCATCAGTTAGTGCTTCAAATCATCTTCACTTTCAGCAAGCAAAGTTGTGTCATCAGCATATCACAGGTTGTTAATGAGTCTTCCTCCAATCCTAATGCTGTGTTCTTCTTCATATAGTCCAGCTTCTTGGATTATTTGCTTAGCATACAGATTGCATAAGTATGGTGAAAGGATACAACTCTGACACACTCCTTTTCTGATTTTAAACCATGCAGTGTCCCCTTGTTCTGTCAGGACAGCCTCCTGGTCTATGTACAGGTTCCTCCTGAGTACAATTAAGTGTCTAACTATTCTTTACTAACTTCACCTCTAACACTTTGGTCCCAGGCATCTCTCACCTAGATTTTATTGCAATAGCTTTTCCACACAGCAACCAGAGTGATGCTTTGAAAATACAACTTAGCTATTTCTCTCCTATGCTCCAAATCCATCTCATACTTAGAGTAAAAGCCAAAGTCCTTTTATAATGAGCTACAAGGCTCTGCCTGATCAGGCTCCCACAAACTCTCTAATGTCTTCTCCTTTTACCATCTCCCTAGCTCACTGTTATCTAGCCAAACTGGCTACCTGGCTTGTTTCTGTCGTAGGGCCATGGCAGGGCCCACTGGCTGGAGAGCAGCTATTTTCTCCAATATCCTCATGGCTCACTCCCTCACTTCCTTTAGATCACAGTTCAAATGTTATCAGTGAGGCTTCCCCAAATACCTAAATAAAAATAGTACACGACCCCATCTATTTTTCTTAAAGCACACATTACTATCTGGCATATTAGTGGTGGGGCTGCACTATTGCTAAATAATACAGTTTAAGCACTTCAAGGAATTCAGAGATGATCCAGTGACCCACATTTCCATGGTTTCGCCTTCCCAGGTACCAGAGATTATCAGTCCCGTGATACTGACATCCTCATGACAAAAGCTTTACCACCTTCTACATGCCACAAAGGGAGCTCTGGTGGTGTAATGCCTAAGGCATCTAACTGCTAACCAGAAGGCTGGCAATTCAAACCCACCAGCCTCTTCAGAAGGAAGCATGGGCGATCTACTTCCGTACTGATACTGCCTCGGACACCCAAGGAGGGGTTGCTATGAGTCGGGATCAACTCAACAGCAGTGAGTTTGGTACCTTGAAAGGCGCTCTGGTGGCACAGTGGATAAGGCACCTGGCTGCTAACCAGAAGGTCAGCAGTTCAAACTCACCAGCCTTGAAAGGAGCTCTGGTGGTACGGTGCCTAAGGCATTTGACTGCTAACCAGAAGATTGGCCGATTCAAACCCACCAGCTGCTTGCTCCCATGGAAGGAAGATGGGGCAATCTACTTCTGTGAAGATTTACTGTCTTGGAAATCCAGTGAGGGGGGTCACTATGAGTCGGAATGAACTCAATGGCCGTTGAGTCTGCTTTTTCTTTTTATATGTCTTGAAAAAGATTTTAACTTGTATCACCTGCTCTGTACTTTCAAAACTTTTGAAAGGACTCTCTAAACTGCTTGAGTTCTCTAAAGTACAGTGTTCTCTAAAGTAATGGATTACAAATTTCTGTGCTCCATTAGCTGTGAACAGCATGATCAGCCTTCAAAGTACTGTAGCTCATACACCCCATTGCTCCTTCCATCTCTTCCCCACCCCCACTTTACAGGTACTTATGCAAGCACACCAAATAAAACAAAGAACTGAACAATAATGTAAACCTGGCCGAAGTCTGAAATTCCAGTCTTGAACTTTAAATCATTTGCTTAGTGACAGCAGCTCTCAGATGCACTGTGACTCAGCATTTTATGGTGCCCGAGACATGAAATAAGATAAAGATCTTGTTCCCTTCATGGTATTAGCTAAATCTGGAGTGAAAATAAATGAGCTACCTCAAAAACAATCAGTAGCTGAAATGGCAGCCCACTGCTGATACAGGTTTGACTCAGGAAAGGGAGCTTGTGACAGTTGAGGCCCATGGAGCTGTTCTGAAATAACCGGTACCCATAAAATGAACCAATAACAATGTGGAATGCAATGAACACTAAGAAATGGAGGAAATTTTGTAAATAGATTAAAACAAAACTATCAACAATGGTGACTGGTTTAGAACCGGGTAAAGAACAACTCAGAGCTGGAGAGGGAATTTACCCAGCTACTCTCCACAAAAGAAGCCCGGTGGTCCAGTGGTCAAGTGCTCGGCAGTTTGAACCTACTAGCTGCTCTTTAGGAGCTCTAGTGGCGTAGTGCCTAAGGCATTTGACTGCTAACCAGAAGGCTGGCGGTTCAAACCCACCAGCCACTCCTCAGAAGGAAGACTGGGCAATCTACTACCGTTTAGATACCGCCTAGGAAACACAAGGAGGGGTCGCTATGAGTTGGAAATGGATCAAGGGCTGTGAGTTTGAGAGTTTAGCTGCTCTTTGGGAGAAAGACGTGGCAGTCTGCTTCTGTAAAGATTTAACAGCCTTGGAAACTCTATGGGGCAGTTCTGTCCTATAAGGTCACTATGATTTAGAATTGACTGAATGGTGATGCGTTTTGGGGTTTTTTGGTACTCTTCACTAGACTATCTAGCTGAAATTGAACCAAATGTTTCCTCCTTGCAAAAAATATTGAGTAAAACTGAAACAAATGTAAAAATCCAGCTCTTTTAAACTCTTCATGGTAGAAAGAAGGATAAAAATAGGACAATTAAGCTGTATCAGTTTGCAGTAAAGACTGTTTTCAGCTCACATTTTCATGTGGAACAGGAACTAATAGAGGAAGAAAAAAATTCTAAGTGCCAAACAAGGAGATCTGGGGAGGTGAGATCATGAAAGCGATTGAGGGAAATTCCAGATAGGTAATGGAGGCAGAATCCCTTTATGGAAGCCAGGAATATAAATGAATAAATAGGCAAATGGGGAAAAACAATAGCTAATATTGAATGAGTTTTAGCTTCTAAATACCCTACATGTATTAAATCTTAATCCTTCAAACAAGCCAATGATATAGTTTTTAAACCCCATCTTACACAAGAGGAAACGGGGGCTCAGAAAAGTTAAGTTGCCCAAAGTCACATGGGTAGTAAGTGGCAGAACCAGGCTGCTAACCTACCTAATTTACTCCACCATGATTTTATACTGCCTCTTATGGACATCCCAAAATGTGAAAAGGAAGGGAAGAAATGTTTGCCATAGTATTGCATGAAGAAAGATGAAAATCACCGCTGACATGGTAATAGCATCCATTTGTTGATTTATGAAGGGCTCTATTCCATTGGAGAAGCTCTGGTAGCATAGTGCCTAAGGCACTTGACTGATAACCAGAAGGCTGGCGGTTCAAACCCACCAGCCACTCCTCGGAAGGAAGGCTGGGCAATCTACTTCCCTAGTGATACTACCTCGGAAACCCAAGGAGGGGTCGATGAGTCAGGTCTGACTCAATGGCACATAACAACCACCACAATCTCTTTGGTCAATGTATGAAAACTCCCGTTAACAGAAAACGCATACACCAGATACTGTTTTTCACCTAACCTCCGAGAGAGCCAGAACCAGAAGGTTCAGTGGCATCTCGACTTTTAAGAACGATCTCTGTGAGCCGGATGAGCCTCACGCCGGACTCGGTTAACCTAGAGGACCGCCGACGGCCTCATGGCCTTCTTCATGCCCTCAGCGCTCTGTGTGGAGTGACACTCGCGACGCCCTCAATAAACGACTTTCACAGTGGGCTGAATTCCTGTAAGACGCAAGGCAGAGTTCTCCCTAATAATCTCTGCTGGAACCCGCCCCACTGCCTAAACGCTAAAGAGAAACCAACAACCATTCAACTCAGCCTCATTACGCCGGAACCTCAAGGGCCCCTGCCCGAGCGCTCGGAGGCGGGTTCCGCGCGTGACGTCACGGCGCGCTGTGCGCCGGGTCAAAGTTTAGCCCCGCCCTCAATTCCCCCTCGCTGTCTCCCCTGGCCTGCGCCGACAGCGCTTGTGGGCCCGGCAGCTTTCCGTCTACTCCGCCGCCTTCCTTCCTGCGCGCTGCCCGGTCGGCCGCCATGGCTAACGTGGCTGACACGAAGCTGTACGACATCCTGGGCGTCCCGCCCGGCGCCAGCGAGAACGAGCTGAAGAAGGTATCGAGGAGCGGGCCGGCCGGGAGTGTGGGGCGCGGGCCCTGCGCGGCTGGGGTGTCCAGGCCGCGCTGAGGTGCCGCCCGCAAGCCAGCGCCAACTGCGGCGGGCCTGGGCTGGGGGCTGGCGGCGTTGAGACCAGTCTCACTGCGGGCCCCACATTCCGGCCTCAGCTGACCTTGGGCCGGCGGCGCTGCCCGCCCGCAGATGCAGCAAATAAAAAGCACCTCTGCGCAGAAACGACGAGAACCTTTCCTTCCTCCCTTCCCCGGCGGTCACCGGAGGCCTAGCGTGCCCAGGAGGCAGCAGCCTGCCGGCTTTTTCTTCTCCGAGGCTACTATCCTGGTAAAACAGGTTGGACGGAGGCGTCTAGCGCATCCCTGCCCCGGAAGAGAAGTTGACCGCCGCGCACACCGGCGAGGAGTCGAGGGGCGGACTGGGCTGGGCCTAGGGCCCAGTGAGACTGAGTGGCGGGAGGGTCGAGGCTTTCCCCGCCGGGTATCTGGCAGTTGGGGGTGGTTTCTGAGATCTGCGGCCAGTGCCGCAGGAGCTCTTTACCCTTATTCCTTGACCTGGAGGTAGCGTGGGTCCGTGTTTGGATGCTTTGTTCTGTGGGCAGGTAATCTTCGTGGTTTGTACCGGCTTATGGAATAAGCCGTGGGTCCCAGCCAGCCAACCACCCAAGTGTACAACGACTAAAAATAAATATAAGGCCTTATTACCGCTGTTTGCAGTGGTGCGAAATGTTTGATCTTTGGATTTCAAAGCACTTGAGGCAATTAATTAAGCCCCATAACATCCTCATGGGGCTTCGCGTATCCGGATTTATAAAGTGGGAAAAATTAGAATCCTGCTTAGGCAATGGGACTGGAACAGTTGAAAGTAAAATGGACTTCCTGTTACCTTACCGGAAATGCTAGTTTGTGTTATATAATTCATGTGTCTGTGAGGTTTAAACGGGCGGATTACCCAATAAGCAAGTAAGCATGGGCTTACTTGTGCTTTACTAATCAATAGTGAACAGTTTCACATATTTTTCACCACATCAAAATTTGGGTGCTCTGCCCTTGACAGTATATTTGAAATGAGGCTTTGATTCTGTAGGAAGGTGTTGTAGTGTTGGGAGAGAGATGGCAACCATACCTACAAGCAGAATCTCTGATGGGGGAATAAAGCAAGTACCTTGCTTGTTGGGTAATCTGACATTGGGCTTAAGTGCTGTATATCCAAACTATCTAATTTGGAGTATATGCAGCCTCATTAAGACAGAGCTTCTCTTGGATTTTTCCTGATGTTACAGTTAGAGGGAAGGCAAGAGTCATCATGAGCAAGGATTTTTTTCCCTTAATTTATAGTAATGTTTTGCAGGTTGCAAAGCTTAATAGTCATTTCTCTAATTGAGGTCTTGCTTCTTGGTCTGGTTACCAGCCATCAAAGACATTTGACAATAGTGAAAATATGAAATAATGTTTAACATTTTGTTTTTCTCTGTGGTATTGTTTCATTGTTTGTATCTGACTTTTACTTCAGTATAACCTCTTTTCAAGGGTAACTACCATTTTTTTTTAATCCTTTCTTAAAGGCATACAGAAAGTTAGCCAAGGAGTACCATCCTGATAAGAATCCAAATGCTGGAGACAAAGTAAGTTCAGAGATTTGGGATTTTTTAAATGAGTTTTGGTTTTAAGTTTAAAATTAAATTCCCCTCGTGGGGGAGGGGAGGAGAATGTTGCAGGAGGAGTCCTTATATACCCATTGGGCTGGATTTTTATGTCAAGTGTACTTTTTTTTTAATGGGAATACTAACATTCAGAGCAATAGTAAGTGGTAAATAGAACAAGAATTAAGCTAAAGGTAACTTGGAGCTTTTATAGTTTGGGGAATTGACTGCTGGATTCCTGAAGCCTTTCCCCCGTCTTATATTTGAAAATCCATTTGCTTTCATTTTTACTTTCTCTTTATAGTTCAAAGAAATAAGTTTTGCATATGAAGTACTCTCAAATCCTGAGAAGCGTGAGTTATATGACAGATATGGAGAGCAAGGTCTTCGGGAAGGTAGTGGCGGAGGTGGTGGCATGGATGATATTTTCTCTCACATTTTTGGCGGAGGATTGTTCGGCTTCATGGGCAATCAGAGTAGAAGTCGAAATGGCAGAAGAAGAGGAGAAGACATGATGCATCCACTCAAGTGAATATCTTCTCTCTTGTTTTTGATATTAAGTACCTTTTTTAAAAAAACGGCAGTACTCAGTAGAAGAGAATGTTATATTCATTATCAGGGGAACAAAAAGAAAAGTGTTCCATTGCATCATATTGTCTCGTTTAGTGACTAAATTGCATTTGATAAATTGGATATTTGTGTGGTACAAAACCGAAAAAAAAAAAAAAAAACCAAACCCACTGCCATCAAGCAATTACGATTCACAGTGATCCCCATTGGGTTTCCAAGGTGGTAAATCTTTGCAGAAGTAGATTGCCTGGTCTTGCTTCCGTGTAGTGGCTGGTGGGTTTGAACAGCCAACCTTCTTGTTAGCAATCAGATGCCTTAGGCACTGCGCTACCAGAGCTTCTTGTGTTTGGTACAGATTTTTCAAAATCTGTAGTTGTTTTTCACCGAAAAGAAGGATGGTTATATGTTTCTGAGGCTATATGACTTAAATATATGACATATGTTATATGACTTAAAATCTTAAGAGTGAATATTGTTTTCTTTGATGTAAATCTTAATATTATGTAAAAATTTGCAAAGTGTCTGCCTGGCTAGTTTGTTTACAGGTTACAGTCACTCATTACTTGATCCTCAGTGCAAACTCTCCTAAACTGGTTTCCATGGAGCTTGCTGGCTTGCAGCCTAACATTAACCTGCCAACATGTGGATGGTGTCCGACCTTGATTTTCGGCTGTGAACCTACAAGCTCTGTACAAAATGAAAATAACTATTTCACTGCAGAACTTGTAAGGTCTTTTATTCTGTTGATATTTTTTGTGAACCAGTAATGGTTTTACTAGCAAGTGCCACAGATATCAAAGTGCAAATGCTTGTTTAAAATATTTCATATTATTTAAATTAAACATTTGAGTATATTAGAGGAAGTCATGCATCTCCTTTTACCTTTATTGAGGACATCCTTAAATTTGTTTGCATTTTAAAGGAATTTTACTGTTAGAAATCTTTTGGATAACATTCCAAGAATAATACTCATGCAGTATGGGTTCTTCCGTATTTTTGTTTGAGATAAGAATGGTCTAAAAGTCAACAGAATTGAGACAGTGCTTGCTGTACCTTATGGTTCTTCATGTTCTTTTAACAAAAACGTTCTTTTTGCACTGTAAATCTTTCATTTCCAGCTGTTTTAACATCACTTAAATTTTTCCTGTTATGACAAACATTTCAAGCATGTAATTTTGGGTGGCACAATGGTTAAAGCATTCGGCAACTCACCAAAAGGTCAGTGGTTCGAATCTACCAGCTGCTCAGTGGGAGAAAGATGAGGCAGTCAGCTTCCATAAAGATTTACAGCCTTTGAAAGCCTGTAGCCTATAGGGCAGTTCTTTGTCCTATAGGGTCGCTAAGAGTAGGAATCAGCTTGATGGTAGTGGGTTTTTTTATAATCTTTTCTGTGGTTTATTTAATCATTCATTTTTGATAGAAGGTGTTGCCAATTTTTGCTGTAATAACTAGTGCTGCCATGAGTATCTTTATCTGCAGATTTGTCCTTGGCATAGATTTCCAGGCAGGCATCAGTGTTTTGAGGCTGATAAATGTTACTAAATTGCCTTGTAGCAGGATTGTGCCAGTTGAGGCCCCACTGGCAGTAGCAGAGAGTTATAGCTTTGCCAGATCCTCACCTGCATTGTTCCTTTCTTGGTCGTATTTGTTGAAATGAGGATTTTTCTGGCCACTTGGATTGTGGTTTTGCATACTAATTGTAATTTAATCTGTAGAAAAAAATGACTTTCTGTTTTTTAAAAATAATTTGGTTAATCATTCTTATGAGGCGCATAAAAGATACATGCAACTAAGTGCTTTTGTCTAAGGCTAACCTGTAAATACCTCATTTTTTTCTGCCATAATGCAATTTTTGGCAAACCATGCAGCCTCCCTCCTGTGTTAGTTTCCTTTGCATACTATGCATACTGGATGTATGGGCAGTCTATGTGAAAAAATATGCTAGACCATTATTTGAAAATGTTGATGGTAATGTTTTGTCCTTAAGTGTGTTGGTCTTATACTGCCTAGAACATATAACAATTTTGAGAAAGTTTGAATACTTCAAAGTAGCATGAGTGCTTTGCAAAATACTTTTAACTATTTTTTCTCTTACCTTAACTCCTGGGATTTTACAGTAGTAGTCAAACAAATCATACTACAAAAGGAGATGTAAAGACACAGTGAGAAGGGAAAATTCAAATTATTAAATGCATTGCTGCCAAATCATAAATGTATAGTATTTTTGAGACTTTGATAGACAGAGAGAGATTTTGAAGTTAGTTTGGAAAGGAGTAGTCTTATTCAGCTGTACTATATGTGAATCAAGGTAAGATTTAGATTTTATCAGCTGTGTATTTTCAGTAGGCTTTTTACTTGACTATTTTTGGGTCATAGACCTATTTGCAAGTTTGGTAAAAAGCCATTCAAACATAATTTTCATTAGAATCAGTAGGTGCTTCAGAATCTCTAAAATACCATAGAAATTGGGAATAATTATACCTATTTCAGAGGGTTGTGATTAGGCATTACTTAGGTCGAAGGCTTCTGTCTGAGCCCAAAAGAAAGTTGTAATGTTTGAATTTGTGCTGTCATCAGCTTACCAGAAAATGCAGCACAGCAAATTGTTGGCCTGATGCCGAGGGTTTGGCTTTGAGTACCATAAATACTGTCCACAGTCATAAAATCTTTCTGCTAATTTGAGCCACTATTTTAGAAGAAAACCTGTCAATTGAATGATTTAATGTGAGGTGTTTCTGAATTTTTTGTTTTAAAAGGTTGTAGTGAAATTGATTTTATCTGCTATCACTTTATCGTCTATTTAAGGGAGCTTGGCAAAATTTAATTGAACCTGATTGTTTCTTTCTCCCAGAGTATCTTTAGAAGACTTGTATAATGGCAAGACAACCAAACTACAACTTAGCAAGAATGTACTCTGTAGTGCGTGCAGTGGGTAAGTATGTGTTCTGGTTTATGGAATAAATTTCATCTGTTCTTTAAAAAGTAGCTCGTTGAAAGTCTATACCAGGTGAAAATGGTTTGTGATTGAGGACTAACTCCCCAGTGTAGAGAATTTTCATACCTCTGAAAGTTGATATGTAAGTTAATCATTAAGAGTGAATGATAAAGATGGAAAGCGCGATTCCTATTTGTCACTGCTGCTTATAATGGTCTGTGGACAAAAACCTAATTTATATTTCTGATTGCTTTAGTCAAGGTGGAAAATCTGGAGCTGTTCAGAAGTGTAGTGCTTGTCGGGGTCGGGGTGTACGCATCATGATCAGGCAGCTGGCTCCAGGAATGGTGCAGCAGATGCAGTCTGTGTGCTCTGATTGTAACGGAGAAGGTATGCATGCCAGTAGTTCTCTGCTTTTATGTTAGAGTGGATTGGGAATGCAGAAAGTGGAGAAGCTTACCATTTTTCTTTTTGTATTTATCTTATTAAAAACGAGATACAGAGTTCTAAAGTAATTATTCCACTAAGCACAGCCCCAGTGAACACAGATAAATAGTAAATTTGTGTTAAGCAGATTGAGCAGTTAGTCTTTTTTAATTCCAGAAAGAAGGGCAGGATGCCTCCTTTGTATTTTAAAAGGTTATCTTTGAGTAAAGGGGGAGACAGGAAAAGCTGTTGAGATAATATTTTGGTAAGTGGAGGGTTTTACTGTAAGCTTTAGTAGCTTTTGAGGATGAGTATTGGGATTGGAACTCTTTAATTTTATTATAGCAGTAACAATGTTTTGGAAGAATGTATATATAAGAAAAGCTGTGCTGTGGTAAACATGAGATGACCAGCTAAAACATGCAAACAAAACTCACTGCCATTGAGTTAATTCTGACTCACAGAGACCCCTGCTGGGTTTCTAAGGCTATAAATCTTTACAGAAGCAGACTGCCTCATCTTAATTCCATGGAGCAGCTGGTGGGTTTGAATCACCAACCTTTTGGTTAGCAGTTAAATGCCTTAACCACTACAGCTCCTTAGCAAAAATATAGCCATCTCTAACTGACTTTGGAAATTCTTAATGGTATTTTGTACCTAAATAAAAAGAAGATCCATAATATGATCCATAAACACCTGATTGGGGTTTTATGAAATAAAATCCAACGTTGGCTATGTAATTTTATGGCATTATAGTCATAAAGAGATATGTTGTTGTCATGTGCCGTTAAGTTGGACCTGACTCATAGCTATCCCTCCTTGGGTTTCCGAGGCAGTATCACTACGGAAGTAAATTGCCCCATCTTCCTTTCAAGGAGTGGCTGGTGGGTTTGAACCTCCAGGCTTCTGGTTAGCAGTCAGGTGCTGTAGGCACTATGCTACCAGAGCTCCTATAAGAGATACATGCATTTTTAAAATTTCGATTATCCATTGTTAAACTTACGTGAAACTGGGACTCGAAGCAGGGATGGGGAATTAAGAAGTATTTGTAGAAGCTGTAGTATCTGATCGCCTATATTGTTTCCTTAATCTTAGGCTTTGTCTTAACTTAGGAAGTCAAATCAGAAACAAAATATTGGTTAGGACATAATATGTTGTTGTTGTTGTTATGTGCTGTCGAGTCGGACCTGACTCATAGCGACCCCTCCTTGGGTTTCCAGGGCAGTACCACTACAGAAGCAGATTGCCCCATCTTCCTTCCAAGGAGTGGCTGGTGGGTTTGAACCGCCAGCCTTCTGGTTAGCAGTCAAGTGCCTTAGCCACTATGCTACCAGAGCTCCTAGGATATAATATAGTACACTGAAGTAGAGCAGAATAGCTGGGTCCTTCAGGTAACCTACTCGGAAGGAGGGTTGGGCAATCTATTTCCATAATGATACTGCCTCAGAAACCCAAGGAGGGGTTGCTATGAGTCGGATCCAACTGCACAGCATTGAGTTTGTTTTTTTTTGTCAGGTAACCTGCAGTAAGTTTTTGTTGTCATTTTGGTCATGGTACTTTGAACAGAAAATTAGGTAGGTAATAAAGAATTTCACTTATTTAATAAAGGCATTATCAAAAATGATCTTATTTAAGAGTATAGTAGTATACTCTTGCTGGAAGTTTGAATGACCGAATCTTTTCCCAGGAGAGGTAATTAATGAAAAGGATCGCTGTAAAAAATGTGAAGGGAAGAAGGTGATTAAAGAAGTCAAGATTCTTGAAGTCCACGTAGACAAAGGCATGAAACATGGACAGCGAATTACATTCACTGGGGAAGCAGACCAGGCCCCCGGAGTGGAACCAGGAGATATTGTCCTTTTGCTACAAGAGAAGGAACATGAGGTAATTTCTTTCTTTCTGTTTTTTTTCTAATTCAGAAATGAGTCTAAGATTTTTGGTGTTCCCTGGAGCAACTTGGAACATTGGAAGAAGTTGTTAAGGGATCATGGCTGAGTTCATAACTTCTTTTGCTTGTAAATACATTTTCATATGGCTGTCTGTCCTTTATCTCTGGGTCTCTTCTTTTTTATAAGGACACCATTCAGTTTGGCTGTGAACCCACCCTATTTCAATATAACCTCATATTAACTGATAACATTTTCAGAGACCCTGTTTCTAAGTAAGTTCACATTCATAGGTACCAGGGGTTAGGACTTCAGCATAGATTTTCGGGGACACAATCCATAACAAGGGCATGAAACCAGATGATCTAAGGCAACTTAGTTTACACTGTGTAACTCCTCGGATAAGTGGTGAGTATGTGGGGCTTTAGTCCCCAGCCCCTATCCTGGGCTACTCTGTTAATTTGTTTTACATACTGGGTATCCAAGTGAGCTTTCCTTGAAAAGATTCTGTGGCTGAAATTTTTTTAAAAAAATTTCTGTGTATTGTATCTGCTACATACAAGGCAAAATGAACTTTGCTAATGATGTTTATAACCAAACAAACAAAATAAACAAACTCACTGGCATCAAGTCGATTCTGACTCATAGCAGCCCGCTTTGGGTTTCCAAGGCTGTAAATCTTTATGGAAGTAGATTGGCCAGTCTTCCTTCTACAGAGTGGCTAGTAGATTTGAACCACCAGCAGTCATATGCCTTAGGCACTAGGCCACCAGAGCTCCTTAACAGTGTGGTCTGGTGAATGTTATTTTGATTGTACTGTTGTGTTGGTATTTTTCAATGTGCTGTTGTATACTATAAACTTTAGTTTATAAGAAATGTATCTGGAGCTATTTATGAAATAGCCATTCAGTAATCAAAACAAGATTCCTTATTTCCTGGCATTTTAGTTCCTTCCTCATTTGTTCAATTTTGCCTCCTGTGCACAGCATCATAGAAGACATTCTAAGGGGTAAAAAGAAAGTCAAGTGTTAGAGAAGTTTATAATCTTCTTTTGGGGGAGTGGGATATAGGTTAAAGTGTAAGGTGAAACAAACTGTGCCATGGGTATTTTCAGTCACAAAATCATTTGAGCACTTGGGCAGGGGGCTGGTTTCTCAAATGATGTCCAGTAGTGAAGAAGTTAAGTTATGCTTATTTGGAGGAGAATAGAGATGATGTTTTGGGGTTACAGGTATGTCAGATTGATTATAAAATCTATTTTTACTCCTGAGTTTAGCTTTTAACATTGCTATATAATTAAACTGAATTTTTAAAGTAGATCACTGAATTTGGGCCATTACTTCTGACTCCATTTACTGAGTTGCCTTCCCTGAGCTTTGGTTTGCTTATCAAAAACAAAGATATTATATTCCTCCCTCAGAAGGGTAGCATAGAATCAGATGAGATAATGAATAAGCTAGGGGGAGGGGTTTGGAAACAAATCATCTCTTAAAATTGTTGGCAGCCAGGAAATTCATGGAATTTCCAACAGAAAACAGATGTAGTTGTATAAAATAGAAAATAAAAGATGGTAAAGATTAGAATGGAATGAAGATTTCATTAGATTAGAATTCAAGTTTTTCTAGCAAGAAGTCAAAGGTTCCTTCTCGTTTTTTTATTACGACCAGGAAAGTATATTTGAGCCAAAGGTGAGATTTACACATCTTGTTTTGTCTCTACCACTGAAAATGTTCTAAATCTACTGAAGAAAATGAAAATAGTTTGAATCAGAACATAGATCTAGTTATATGTTCATGTAAAAACCTGTAGTTAGTTTTGGTTTTTGGCTTTTTTATTCCCACCCCCAAAATTTGTGCTAAAGGAATTGTGAGGCCACAGTGAGACATCATAGCTAACAGTTTCAAACGTATACAGTAAAACCTGCAAAAGCTGAAGCTGTGTAAGGGAGAAACCTGTCAGAGAAAAACACAAATATTTTCTACTAAAACAAACAATAGAAAAGTAATAAGACTACACCCTGTCAAAGGTAGAAAACTCATGAGACCTGGCTCTCTCAGGTTGAATTGTATAAATCTTTGGATTGCCTCAGAACATTCACTTTTGAGAATTCTCTGTTGTGTGTATTCATCTCTTTGACATACTTTATTTTAGATTGCCAATTTGTACGTGTGTTTCTAGTACACTTGTACAGCACAGAACATAATGTCTGGGATGCTAGTTCCTCCTCTATACTCTTGTTTTTTTGTTTTTCAGAAATCATAGCTTTGCAGATGTTTTAGATGATACACTATCTGCTGCTGGTAGTCTCCCCTCAGTAATCTTGTTTTTTAAAAATTTCCTGACCATTCTTGCTTATAATTTGTCTTTGAACTTCAGTATCAAAATGTCTAACACACCTCCCCCAAACACAAACACAAAAAAAAAATGTACCAAAACTGTGGCATTGTGTTTTTATTGGAATCACTTTAAACTGAGCCTCCTGTCCGAGAACAGGGAACTCTGGTGGCGTAGTACCTAAGGCATTTGACTGCTAACCAGAAGGCTGGTGGTTCAAACCCACCAGCTACTACTCGGAAGGAAGGTTGGGCAATCTGCTTCCGTAGTGATACTGCCTTGGAAACCCAAGAAAGGGTCGCTATGAGTTGGATCTGACTTGATAGCAGTGAGTTTGGTTTTTTGCTTTAACCAAGAACATGGTATGCCTTCTTGCTCCCTACTTGTAATGAAGCACTTTTTTAGCATTGTATTTTAGGTGAAAGGTTATACAGCAAGTTAGTTTCCCATTCAACAATTTGTACATCAGTTGTTCCATGACATTGGTTGCTGTGCTTGCAATGTGTCACCACTCTCTTTTCCACTCTACATTTCCAGCCCTCTAGTTTCCCTGCCCTTCCTTGCCTTCTGATCTTTGCTTCTGGGCAAATGCTGCCCCTTTGGTCTCATAGTTGTTCTAAGGACCCAATTCCTCACGGGTACTACTCTTTATTTTATAGGCCAATTTTGGCTGAAAGGTGACCTCTGGGAGTGTCTTTAGTTGTAGGTTAGAGGAGAAAAGGTGTCTTAGGGGTTCCTCCAGTAAATCTGATTTTTTTTTTTTTTTTTTAATGAATTTGAGTTTTGTTCTACATTTTTCTGCCTTTGTAAACAGGACCTTCTATTGTGTCCTGATCAGTAGTGGTCACTAGGTACCATCTAGTTCTTCTAGTCTCAAGCTGTAGGAGGCTGTGATTCATGTGGGCCATTAGTCTGTGGACCAATTGCTTCCTTAAGTCTTTGGTTTCCTTCATTCACCTTTGCTTCAGATGGGGAGAGCCCAGTAGTTGGATTTTACTTAGATTAAAGCTTGAAAGCTTTTAAGACCCTAAACACTATTCAACAAACTAGGATGTAGAACATTATCTTTATGGACTATATTATGCCAGTTGACATAGATATGTTCCCCTGAGAGTGGTCCTTAGCCTTCAAGCCCAGTAACTCAGTCCCACAAGGTGTTTGGATATGTCTAAAATTGTAATGAAGCTTTAACCAATGGATGTTTGGGTAAAGATATTTCTTGGAACTCTAATGTGCTTCATTTTAAAAATACTGAATATGGCATTTTGTAGTATTACATAAGCCTAAAGTATTCCTGCATAAAAGAAACCTTACTGAGTTTAATGTTTCCACCCATTGTGAGAAACTCTTGATACATACGTTCTGTGCTTCTCAAACTGTAGCACACATTAGAATCCTCTGGAGACCTTGTTAAAACAGCAGATTGCTGGGCCCCGTGGGCCTCCAGAGTTTTAGATGCAGTGAAGGTGGAGATGGAGCCCAAGAGTATGCATTCCCACTGAGTTTTCTGGTGCTACTGAGACTGATGATCCAAGACCACAATCTGAGAACCACTGGTCAAGATAGTGGTTTCGGTAAATTTAGGAGGATAAATGGGGGAAAAGAGCCTATCTTTCAGATTCCCTCTTTTCTTAAATGAACCAGCCAATATTGTCCTTTAGGAGAGTGACAATTGTATGGATAAAATCAAGCTAATTTTTCACTGCAGCTAATTTTTCTTCATTTAAACTTTCAGAATTTAAGTATTTAGGTATTTATAAATTCTAAAAAGTAAAAATTACAAGTTAGACAAGTGTGAGATTTGTATTTTTCCTACACTGAAAGCTCAGAAACATTCTTTGCTTATTTAGTAATTGTATTACCTAGTCCATAGGCTTACAGTGTAATATTGAATAAGCTAATGTTAGCATTTCCTGTGTATAATTTATATCCATCTAAGCAAGTTTTGAATTTTAAATGAGAAACAACTTGGTGTGTACATGATGTGAAGGCAAGACTTGAGCCCTTCGACTTTACTGGCTGAGTGTTTTACTGGTTGAGCTTTTTGTGCTAAACTTGGACCTTCCCCTTTCACTGTAAGGATCATGTCTCGGGAGCCGTTCCAATACAAACCTGTTCCACAGAAGCCCACTGGGCTGTTTATACCTTTGTGCCCAGAGGCAGGGTGAGTAAGTGGACCATAATCACAAGATATGAACTGGTGCTGCTTATGAAACCTTAGCTCTGTCACTTTTTACCCAATTCCAATGCATTCTTAATAGAAGTGTCTAGGATTTTACTAGGGGGTGGCTAACTTTCCTGATAGAAATTTAGGAATTAAGGATGGTAGCAAATTGGCTTTTTCAGTGAATGATAAGATTAAAGGTTTGAAATTGATTCAAGATGTATAGCAGGTGAAGGCTCCATAATTTTTTTTTTTAAAAAAAAGTTTTCTTTATCTGTAGGTGTTCCAGAGAGATGGGAATGATTTGCATATGACATATAAGATAGGACTTGTTGAAGCTCTGTGTGGATTCCAGTTCACATTTAAGCACCTTGATGCCCGTCAGATTGTTGTGAAATACCCCCCTGGCAAAGTAATTGAACCAGGTAAATCTTGATGTTATGAACTTAATTTTATCTAATCCAGGTTCCAATGTGCTCTTTTAAAATGCACAGTTTTTTATAGTGGGTGACTCTTGAAAGAGTATTACTGTACACCTGTGTTCTTGGGTAAAATCTTAACAGCTTCTTCTTTACTTTCTCACATAATAGGATGTGTTCGTGTAGTTCGAGGTGAAGGAATGCCACAGTATCGTAATCCCTTTGAAAAAGGTGATCTCTACATAAAGTTTGATGTGCAGTTTCCTGAAAACAACTGGATAAACCCAGATAAGCTTTCTGTAAGTGTTCTCTAAATTTAAGCAACAGATGACTTTGGTTAATAATTGTGTTTCTCTATTACTATTACCTTGAATTTGTTTTTGGTGCCAAGATCATTTCACACAATTTAAAATTTTACCTTTTAAGTTGAATGCTTGATGGGTTGTTCTGGTTATGATTAAAGTGAGGTTGCCAGTGTAAGTGCTGATGGGGGCAAGCAGATAACAGTAAAGCAGTAAAGTAGACTGGGTGTTGTGAGTTTCTGGTAGGAGGACATTGACTCCTAGGGAGCAGATTCCTCACCTGAAGAAGGCAACTCCACACAGCTGGTGGTTTGATGCAGAATGCAAGAGGGCTTCACAGATGTGCTTTGTTTTTCAGAAACGTTCAAATGTTGACAACAAACTCATTTATTTTTAATTAATTTTTTTATTGTGAAACATGTAAAACAAAACATTTGCCATTTAATCATTTTTATGTGTACACTTCACTGACATTAATTACATTCACCATGTGGTACAACCATCATCACTATGCATTTCCAAATTTTTCGTCGCCTTTAACAGAAACTAAACTTCGTAATCCTTTTTCCTCCTCTCACCTGTCCATAGTAATAATTAGTATACTTTAATGTCTGTACATTCATCTGTTCAAAGTATTTCATACAAGTGGGTTTGCATACTTGTTTTTCTGTTACTGACTGACTTCACACAGCATAAGGTTTTCAGGGTTCACCCATGTAGTACCCTGTATCAGTGCTTCATTTCTCTTTATAGTTAATAGTCCACTGTGTGTATGTATATAAACAACAATAAAAAAACCTCAACTGCCATCAGTCGGTTTCCAAGGCAGTATCTCTATGGGAGTAGATTGCGCAATCTTCCTTCCAAGGAGTGGCTAGTGGGTTTGAACTGCCAGCCTTCGGGTTAGCAGTCTTATTATGCCTTAGGCACTGTGCCACCAGAGCTCCCATGTGGGTATGGCACATTTTATTTATGGTTATCTGTTGATGGACCATTGGGTTATTTCACCTTTTTTAGCTGTTATAAATACTGCTGCAGTGAACATTGGTGTACAGGTATCTATTTGAGTTCCTGCTTGTAGTTCTTTTGATCTGTACCTAGGAATGGAATTATTGGGTCATATGGTAGTTCTTTAACTTTGGAGGACCCACCAAACTGTTTTCCATAGTGGCCATAACATTTTAGAATCCGGTCAGCAGTGGATGAGAGTTCCAGTTTCTCTGCACCCTCACCAACACTTGTAATTTTTTCTTTTTCTGCTAAAACCCTCCATTGTACTGGGGATAGAAGCATTGTGTCATTGTGGTTTTGATTTGCCTCTCTCTGATCACTTTGAACATCTTTTCATGTGCATATTGTCCATATTTCTTCTTTGGTGAAATCTTCCAGTCCTTTGCCCATTTTTAAATTGGGTGTTTTTTTTTGTTGTTGTTATTAAGTTATAGGAGTTCTTTATATATTTTGGATAGTAAACCCTCATCAGATGTTTGTTTCCCCGAAATTTTCTTCAAATCTGTGGATTATCTCTTGGTTTTGTCCAATGAAGTATGAAAGTTTTATTCTGGTTTTTTTTTTTTTCATTTTTTATATTGTTTGTTTTACATTCAACATTACATGTACATTTAATTTCACTCCCCATTTACCATCCCTAACCCTAACCCAGTCTCCTCCCCTCCCTGCCCAGTAACCACCCCCCACCCTCACCCCTCATAGTTACGCACTCCTGTGTGTCCTGCATTTCCTCCCTGTGAGTGTTGCCGCTCTTGTGTGTCCTGCTCCAAGGGATGCATTTCCATATAGTATGTGGGTGGGTCACCCTGGGTTGAGTGGTCTGCATGTACATCTTGTTTCCTATTGGCCTGATAGCCAGCTCCTAGGAGTGAGCTTTATTCCAGGCCCAGAATGTATCCCAGGGCCATAGTATTGGGTAGTTTTATTTTTGATGAAGTCCATTAATCTGTTTTGTCTTTTATTGCTTGTGCTTTTTTTCTTTTAATACATTTTATTGAAATACAATTTAGGTACAGTGACATACACAAAACTAAAGTGATATGGGTCAGTTTTTGTGGGGTTTTTGGCTGGGGGGGCAGTGTTCCCTCCCTTCCCCTCCCACCCCTGGTAACCATCAAAGAAAGTTTCCTTCCATATATGAATCTTTCCTTGACTTTTTACAATAATGAAGTATACTATATTTCTCCTTCTGTGATTGACTTTCTTTCACTCAGTATTATGTCCTCCAGTTTATCCATGTTATGTGATGTTTTGCATATTTTACATTATTCTTAGTGTTGCATGATATTCCATTGTGTGTTTGTTTATCCATTCTTCTGCTGATAGGCACCTAGGTTGTTTCCATCTTTCTGCTATTGTAAATAGTGCTGTGATGAGCATGGTTGTGCATATAACTGTTTTGTCCTGGCTATCATTTCTTTAGGATATATACCTGGTAATGGGATTGCTGGATCAAATGGTATTTCTAATTACAGCTTTTTAAGGAATCACCATACTGCTTTCCACAGTGGTTGTATCATTTGACAGTCCCAGCAGCAGTGTATGGGAGTCCCGATCTCTCCACATCCTCACCAGCATTTGTTATTTTCTGTCTTGTTGAACTTTGCCATTAGTGCTGGGGTGAGAGGATACCTCGTTTTGATTTGCATCTCTCTGATGGCTAATGATCATGAACATTTCTTCATGGATTTGCTGGCCGCTTGAATATCCTTTTTGGTGAAGTGTCTTCATGTCTTCTGCCCATTTTTTAATTGGATTGTTAAAATTTTTTTTGTTGAAGTGTTGGAGTTTTCTATAAATTTTAGAGATAAATCCCTTGTCAGATGTATAACTATTGACAAGTGTGGATTTGTTGCTATCATTTTGTTTTGTGCTTTTTTTTCATGGTGCTCCAATGATTTCTTTGTTCCATATAGTTTTCAGTACTGAGATCATTTTGTTTATGAATCATGTATCACTTCCTTCTTTGCTATTGTTTTAATATTTGCTAAATATTTGTGCTGGTCCTCTTTTTAATTTTGATATGAAGGTTTATCATTTTTCTTTGAGGTTACCCTGTGATTTATAATTTCCTTCCCAAGTTTAGAACAATCTGTTCTTATCTTGCAGTTGTCTTGACTTCCCTACCATTTAGAGGTTCTGTAACTACACAGTTTTTTCCCACTTTTTGGTTTGTAGTTGTCCTCCTTTGTCAATTGATGTCTCTGGTTTCCTGTTTACAATCTTTAAGGCTTACTCTTGATACTTCCATAACTGGGTTGGTTTCTGGGTTATGTCATCATGTATGTTAATGATCGGTTATTGTTTGCTGTTGTTGGTTCTCTGTCCAAAGGACTCCCTTTAGCATCTTTTGTAATGTTGGTCTGGTTTTAACAAATTCCCTTAATTTCTGCTCATCTGGAAATGTCCTAATTTCACTATCATATTTGAGGGATAGTTTTGCTTGGTACATAATTCTTGGTTGGAAGTTTTCCTCTTTCAGGGTTTTATATATACCATCCCGTTGCCTTCTTGCCTGCATGGTTTCTGCTGAGAAATCCAAGCTTAGTCTTATCGGTTGTCCCTTGTAGGTAACTTTTTGTTTTTCCCTTGCTGCTTTCAGGATTGTTTCTTTGTCTTTGGTTTTGTTGAGTTTGATGGTGTTATGTCTTGGTGATTTTCTTTTGGGTCTGTCCTGTGTGGGGTTCATTCAACTTGTTGCGTGGATGTATTCTCGTTTTTCATCAGACCAGGGAAATTCTCTTCCAACAGATCTTCAGCAGTTTTCTCTGTGGTTTTATTTGTCTCTTCCTGTTCTGAATTCTGATTACACATAGGTTATTCCTTTTGATGGTATCTCACATGAACCTTAGGTTTTGTTCATTTTGTTTTGATCTTTTTTCTGATTGATCCTTTTCCAAAGAAGTATTGAGGTATTGTCTTCAATCTCACTAATTCTGTCTTCCATTGATTCAGTTCTACTCCTTTGCCTGTTCGATTTGTTAATGTATTTCTGAAAATTTAGTGTCAATCTGGATTTCTGTCTGTAGATTTTGTATCATTTCTAATTTTTCATTTATTTTGTCATTTTTCTTGTATTGTCTTTTGAAATTGTTCTGTGATTTTTCTCTGTGTTTTCCTCAATTTTGTCAGTGTTTTCCTTGATCTGTCTCTCAATCCGTTGAAGGTACCTAAATGTAATTCTTTTGAATTCCTTATCAGGAAGTTCCAATGCTGCTTCCTCAGGGTTGTGTTTTGGGTCTGTATCCTGGTCTCTTGTTTCTTCTGCTTTATCTTGCTGCTTTGTATGGACTGTGATGCCCTGTTGTCTCTGAGACATTTTGACAGTTTTGTGTTTATATTTATTGGTGATTGTATGTTGGAGTGACTTGCCCACGAATTTCATTTTCTTTGTTTTGTTTGAGCTGTTATCTGTGTAAGCAGGGTACTGTGCTCCTCTATTCGCTAGTTGGCAGCACTTATACGCTAACCACCTTTCTCCCTTCCCATTGTCTGCCTCCCCTATGTCCCTGCCGTCCCTGACAAACAAAGCCTATTCTTAGGTCCCTGGAATTATCAGAATGAGAATGCTATCACTTTGAAATCCAAAATGGTTGCTACTTGTGAACATTCAAAATGGCTGCGCCCTCAGTCACTTGAAATATCCAAAATGGCCACCACTTTAAAAAAATCAGAATGGCTGCGCCCTCCAGACAGCTGAAAGTCCATAGCTCAGGTTGTCTCCCTCTTTGCTGTTTCAGGTCCTAGTCATAGGCCACCAGTGCAGCCCCTGGCGACCAGGGCTGATCTTTAGGTCAATTCTCAGGTCCCAGCACCACTTGGAAGTTTTCAGGTGTTGGTCCTGTCAAAGTAGCTGACGGTCCGCAGCTCCAACTCTCTCCATACTCACTGTTTTCATTCAGGTTTTTTCCCTAGTTGGTGCCTAATCCACTTCTATATACTTCCTTTCAAAGCTCTGGGCTCCAGGATTATCTTCTGTATCTCTGTCGATTGATTTCTCTTTTCTTTGTTGAAGTGGGTCTGTGTAGCTTATCTGCCTATTCCGCCATCTTATTGGATGTTTTTGTAGCAAAAGTTGCACAAAAGATGTCTGCAGATTTGAACTGTGGGCCATCAGTATGTGACTTGAATTACTTTGTAAAGACCAGTCAGTTTCCTATTGTAATTATCAAAGAAGCATACATCTGGATTATATCAAAAGGCAAACTGATGAAAATATCTTAGAGCTAACCTGATTTTTGTCTGTTTTAATGAAGGAACTAGAAGATCTTCTGCCATCTAGACCAGAAGTTCCTAATGTTATTGGAGACACAGAAGAGGTAGAGCTTCAGGAATTTGATAGCACTCGGGGCTCAGGCGGTGGTCAGAGGCGTGAAGCCTATAACGATAGCTCTGATGAGGAAAGCAGCAGCCACCATGGACCTGGAGTGCAGTGTGCCCATCAGTAAACTCTGCAAATAAATGCACAGGTGGATTTTCTTTCCACGTTTACCTGATTTGTTTTCAGCGACCCAGCTGGAGTGTCTGATCAATCCAGATGAACTGATGGACATCTGTTGGTCTATGTGTAACTTTTAAAATTGGTATAGTATCTACAGAGTGTATAATTTAAACTAACCACAAAGCTTTACATCTTCGTTTCCACTGTTCTGTAGCAGAATAAAGCACTTGAAAGGAAACAAGACTCCCTTTCACACCTGGATTATAAGTTTCAGTCCTGATATCTGTGCTTGATTTTTATCGGTTTTGTGTAGATTTTATGTTTCATATTTTGAAGTCAAATCCCACATTGTAAAGTTTGTGTACAATTTGTCCTGAAGCTTTGTGTTTGGCTGCACCTGCATAAGCTGCTACAAATAGAATAAAGAATTTCATAGCCTGTATCTATCATTTAGATGCATGGAAAATGGGCTTTGCACACCGTGGGTTTGGAGCTGACTGGGAACAATGGGGGAAAAAAAGTACATTAGCTGTGGTTGTAAAGGTTTTTTTTTTTTTTTTTTTTTTTTTTAATTTCCACATTCTTTTTTTTTTTTTTTTTTTTTAAACCATCTTGTGAAAGGTTTCTGGAACTCGATAATAAAAAGCAGTTGGTGTAAATTATTTTTTGTGTCACATTTTTAGAAGGAAGAACATTTTGAACTATTCAAATGTATCCTTTAAAACTGGAGAATGTATCCATAGTTTTGGTTCTTAAACAGCCCTTAAAGACTCATCGGCCTGAAGCATTTGTCTTGGGCACTTGGCCATTAATAGTTTAAAAAGACAAAGGAAATTCTGATATGTTGGTAGAAACAGGCTTTATTGGCTTCGATTGATGCTGAGCTTTGTAACTCCCAAATTATTCTGAGCTTTGGGGCCAGATTAACCTTGGCCTCTGTATGTCCCCACTACCACCCCCTTTTTTGAAAATAAGGTAACAATAAAATCAATAGTAGAACCATGTCTGCATAGAGCCTGTTTAAAATGCTCGTGTTCATTAAATGTTAAGTTAAAGATTCTGTCTCCATTAAGTTGAATATTTGAAATTGGGGAAGCAGTGATTGTTACTGATACTTCAGAAAAGTAAGACTCTTAGGCTGGTATGAAAAAAATCAGGTAAAATGACTATGAGAAGAATGTTGTTTCTTTTTCCATCTTCAGGTTATTACCTTCTTTTCATCCCCAGAATAGATATCTTGGAACACACTTACTTGAGGGAAAAAGAGAAAGCAGTTGCACATGTGTAAAGGGACAAATGGGGAAACTGTAAACTAAAATTTACATTGTATTATGCCATCCCTGAGCCTAAATACAGGATTTGTAGTTTATTTCTACATCTGTTGGAACTAGGATTAAAAAAAAAAAAAAAGTGTCCTGGCATTAATGAAGTCCTCTGAGGTTTAAATTATTGCCCTGTCCACTCTACCTCCATTGTACAAAAATAGTTCACAACCAGCCTGGGCAAGGTTCAATTCAACAGCGTAGTAGTTTTGTATCCAAGGTTACTTCCCCACAACCACTATAAACGTAAAAATGCAGTGGCAATATAAAGTTTGTAGCCTTTCCAATAAAGGTTTCTAAAACATTAGAACTGTTCAGTGTAGTCTTTATTTCTATATTCTGCTTGGGTGTTTTGACCACGGCAAAGAACCATTTGGAGGAAATAAGAAAACTGTTAAGATCTGTCATTTCGATCTACTCTACTTTGTAGAGCACTTGTCTACAGCATGTATGTTAAGCATATGTATTATCAGCAGTATGAACTTTTATGGCAGCTTTCTTAAGATATAATTTAAAAATTTGCCCTTTTAAATTGTACGATCCAGTAATTTTTAGTATATTCACAGTTGTACATTTAATACCACTATAATTTCAAAATATTTTCATCACACTTGAAAGAAACCCTATAGCCATTAGCAGTTACTCTCCATTCCCCTCTTCCACCAGCCCTTGTGCAGTCACTAAAATACTTTCTAAGGATTTGCCTCTTTCGGACATTGCACATGAATAGAATCTGTAGCAAGGGCCTTTTGTGACTGGCTATTCATCTAGTACAGTGTTTTCATGTATAGCATGTCTCATACATCATGTTTGTTGCTGAATGATATTGTATGCATATACTACATTTTCTTCACCCATTCAACTAAAAGATGTTCCCCCTCCCACCCCCCCATTTTGGGGCTAAGAAGAATGATGCCTCTGAGCATTCATGCTAAGTTTTTATGTGTTGTTATTTGCCATCGAGTCGGCCCCGACTCCTAGCGACCCCTCCTTGGGTTTCCGAGGCAGTACCACTACAGAAGTAGGATTGCCCAACCTTTCTTCCGAGGAGTGGCTGGTGGGTTTGAACCGCCAGCCTCCTGGTTAGCAGTCAAGTGCCTTAGGCACTATGCTATGTTTTCAGTTCTCGGGTATGTATACCTGGGAGGGAAATTGTTGGGTCGTATGGTAACTCTGCCTTTAACCTTTTGAGGAACTGCCAAGCTTGTCCAAAGTGGTCAAAGCATTTTATAATCCTACAGCAGTGTATGTGAGGGTTCCAGTTTTTGCATATCCTCACCATCACTTGTTATCCATTTTTTAATTATACCCATCCTTCTGGTGGTTGTAACCTATTTTCTGATTTTGACTCGTACTTCCCTAATGACTAATGATGAGTGTGTTTATTGACCATTTGTATAACTCTAGAGAAATGTCTATTCAAATCCTTTGCCCATTTTTAAATTGATTTTGTCTTTATTGTTGAGTTGTGAGAGTTCTTTATAGTCTGGATACAAGTCCCATGGGTTTTTTTTTTTTGTTGTTGTTGTTTATTATTTACTTACTTTCATGCTCTATTATTCACATGCAGACTTTGTTCATATTTTCTTAGCTTTTATCTAATGTTCTTTTTTCTATTTTGGAGCTCTGGTAGCATAGTGCCTAAGGCACTTGACTGCTAACCAGAAGGCTGGTGGTTCAAACCCACCAGCCACTCTTCGAAAGGAAGGTTGGGCAATCTACTTCCATAGTAATACTGCCTCAGAAACCTAAGAACCCGGGGTTGCTGTGAGTCGGGTCTGACTCAACGGCACATAATAACGACATTCAGGAGACCATGTTACATTTAATCATTGTATCTTTTTAGGCTCATGTTGGCTGGAACATTCTCAGATTTTCCTGGTTTTGATGACCTGAACAGTTGTGAAGCATTCAGGTCTGGTATTTTGTAGAACGCCCCTGTATTGGGATCTGTCTGATGTTTTCCTTATTAGATTGTAAAGTGCTGTTTTCATCACATGTCCAGGGTACTTACTATCACATGAGTTACTCCTGGTGTTGAGGTTCATGTTGATAACAAGCTGGCTGGGGTAATATTTGTCAGGTTTTTCCACTCTTTTCCCTCTGTCCGTACTGTACTCTTTGAAAGGAAGTCTCTATGTGCAGCCCATATTTGTGGAGTAGGGAAATTAAGTTCCAGCTCCTTGAGATGGAGTATCTACATAAATTATTTTAAATTCTTCTGCACAGGAGATGTTTCTCTTCTCTATTTCTTTATTCACTACGGACTCTTGGACGTTTTATATTTCACCACCCTAAAAAAAGGTGGTTTAATCTATTTAGCTCCTCTCCCTCCCCTCCATTCCTGGGCAACCACTTCTTACTGTTTAGCTTTTCCACAATTTCATGTAATTGAAATCATATTGTATGTAGCCTTTTCATCTCTGGTGGTATAGTACCTAAGGCATTTGACCACTAACCAGAAGGCTGGTGGTTCAAACCCACCAGCCGCTCCTCTTAAGGAAGGTTGGGTAATCCTAACTTCCATAGTGATACTGCCTCAGAAACCCAAGGAGGGGTTGCCATGAGTTGGTCTGACTCCACGGCAGTGGGTTTGTTTTTTCTTTCATTTAGCAATATGTATTTAAGATTGATCCACGTTTTTTTGTAGCTTGATAGCTCATTTCTTTTTATTGCTGAGTTTTCATTGTATGGATGTACTAGTTTATATGTCACTTATCAGATAATTGATTTGCAAATATTTTGTCTCATTCTTTGGATTGTCTTTTCATTTTATGAATAGTATACTTTGAAGCACATTAATTTTGATTAAGTCCAATTTTTTTTTTTCCTGTAGCAGTCATCTGGCTCTGGGGAGGGATAAGGCATTGTAGATCCTATCTGATAAGTGTTAATTTACTTGGGAATTGCTGTTCAACAATTGTATTGAATTGATCCTTGTGTTTTGTCCCAGCATATGCTGATTGTTGTTGTTGTTGTTATGTGCCGTCGAGTCAGCCCTGACTCATAGCGACCTCTCCTTGGGTTTCCGAGGCAGTATCACTACGGAAGTAGGATTACCCAACCTTCCTTCCGAGGAGTGGCTGGTGGGTTTGAACCGCCAGCCTTCTGGTTAGCAGTCAAGTGCCTTAGCCACTATGCTACCAGAGCTCCCATATGCTGATTATACCCCCTTCATTTTCTTGTCTCTCCCTGCCAACCCAATTATTTGTGCTGTACAGATTAAGTTAGGTCCAGGAGCCTAGACTTCCTTTTTTGGCTTGCCAAACAATGATTACTTAATGTTTTCACTTTATGTAAAAATGGCATAGAAGCAGTGTCATCAGACCTCTTTCTTCACAGAGGGGTGGGGGATGTTATCATTACCAGGCAAAAAGGTCAGACATAGCTCCTCCAGCCTTTTTTTTTTTTTTCTAAACCAATTCTGGCACTAGCTTTTCCTCCCAAACCACTCTCCTTCTCTGCTGAGTTTGATAATTCATTGCAATGGCCACACACAACTCACAGACCATAATCAGAATTATGGGGTGTTGTAGGCTGGCTTCTTTAGAGAAGCAAAACCAGTGAACCTTATAGAGAAAGAGAAATTTATCTCCAGAAAATGGCTCACACAGTTGTAGAGGCTGGCAAGTCCCAAGTCCACGGGTCAGATGTCAAACTCCAGGCTTCTCCTGGCTCTCATAGCTGCAGGGGCTACTGATGAACCTAAGATTAGCAGGCAATACAGCAGGCCTCCGACTATAGAGGCTGATGAATCCTGGTAGATGGCAGGCTGTGGCCTCACAGGCTCTGAAGGCAATGATCCCAAGATCAGTGGGTGATATGAATATGACTTGAACCAGGCCACTGATTCAAGTCCAGGAACCAAAGATGAACCAGATGCAGGAGCCAGGTCCAGCAGAAAGCCAGAGCTTTTCCATGTATATTGGAAGCAGGCCACATCCTGAAGGAAACTCAACCGATTACCCACAGCAGATCTCATGATGGAGATGATTATGTTGTATGAGAGCTCATCATGGGGGATGACTATATCATTACTGCTGAACCACTTAGAATCATAGCCTAGCCAAGTTGATACACAACCTTAAATATCACTGGGGTTTATTAGGGAAGTAACAGGTTACAAATTCAGGTTCAGGAATTTAGGATACAGTTCTATCAGGACAGTCTCTTCTCAGCTGTGTCCACAGGCAGACCTCTGGCCCTTGGCCCTTAAGCCCCTTGGCCCCTCCACCTGGATTCTGCCCTGCTCAGGCAACTAGTGCTTTATCCCCACCTGTAAGTGCCCAAAGATACCCCACTCTGCCCTCAAGCTTCCTGCCTGAAGACACTCGGCTTTC